TGACCCCCGAGGATAGGGTGGGGCCATAATGGCTGATCAAAGTTTGACATAGGAATATGTAGGAAAAATATTTTAAAAATCTTCTTTTCAAGATCATCAAAGCTATGATTGGTGATATTAAATATGGAAACATCCTCAGTTAGTCTAGAGTTGATTCAAGTTTGTTCATATAATGACCCCCAGGGGTAAGATGGGGCCATAATGGGCAATCAAATCTTTTAGATAAAAATATATAGGAAAATTCTTCTTCTCAACTACGGCAAAATTATACATGTATGCTTTATTGATATAGTGACATTGTCAAGTAATAAAAAAAATCAAATCCCCCCTACCCCAACAAGTTAACTTTTCAACACTGAGCTGATTTGTGTTTTTAACTAGCCCATGTGCTCAGGTGAGCGATGTGGCCCATGGGCCTCTTATTCCTGTTGTTTTCAATCAAAAAATTTCAAAAAGCATATCTGGGTTGGTACATGTACAATTAGTACATGTAATAATATAGCCACCAGCTAACTGAATACTAAAACTAATTCTCATTGCTTTTTCTAAGAAACAAAAGCAATATACAGTGAAAACTGTCTACTGCAACACCTTTATAAACTGACACACTGTGAATTCCCACGTTTAATTTCTTTCCCAGTTTACTATTTTTCCATGCATATTTTACACTGTGCAATCCGACACCCTGTCTATTCCGACATGAAATTTGTCTCCCTGTGCATGTCGGATTAGACAGGTTTCACTCAACATGGATAAGGGATTTCATTATAGCCACAGATTAAAATACAACTTTGACAACATATCAGTTCATATCCTTTGATTTGAAATAGAAACTACAGAATTAATAAATAAAAAGAAAAATGAAAATGACATGGACATGCATTCTAAAGCCCTAAGTTGAAGTTTAAATTTATTTTTTTTCATTTAAATTTTTATGTGCATGTCAGTTATTTAAATAATCATGTTAAGAATTCAGTTAGTCAAGCACACAGTTTTGAAATATCCTATGTGGATTTACATGTATGCATTATTTATCATTTTTTCAGTGTACTTAACATATATAATTATGTAATATACATAATGTACATATGCCTTGTAACTGTGGAGATCAATGCAAAGTACACAAAATATTTAAGAGATTACCATAAATTAAATTGGACTGTCCATTGCAGCACTTATCTTAATCTGCATGTGATATTTTAACATATCTGTAAATTCAAGAATAAACACCAATGTAAATCCTTGTTGTTTACCATCTGTTCCAAAATCTTGCTCATTCCATATTGTTTTGTTGAGGTATATGGCACACAACTTTGTGTTGTTACAATATTGAAATAATGTACTGTTATATGTAGATGTTACAATGCATTAATTGTCAAAATAAAAGTGATTGTTGATTGACTTTTGCCTGTTTTTTTTTTCCATTCAAATTATCTCAGCGAGATGTCGAAGGAACTAAAAATGTTGCTCTGGTGTCCCTCGACCAGACCAAAATTTTTAGTCCCTTCGACATCTCACTGAGATTATACATGTAGTTAATTGCACGTATACATAGGCCAATGCTGAACTGATAAGCAACTAAAGTATAGAAAATTGAGCTTTTATTCTTGTTAGACATTAACACAGTATATCCAGCATACATGTCATTGAATGCATCAATAAAACTGATGAAAATTAAAATGCATATTTCAAATATTTTTCAATTTAAGGTACTGAATTTTTTTTTAGAAAATAATACTGAACTTCAAATTTCATTATTAAATTCAATTTTGAAAAATTGAAATTCAATATTTTAGATTGAATAAATGTTGACAACATATAGAAATCCTTATCATAGCAATTTATATACTAAGTATCAGCCCTAAATCTGGCTGATGTGGGGATCGACTGACTCAAGAAAAATACAAACTTTACTAATTAAGTTTTGAAATTCATAATTTTTTGCATAATTATGATAATTGCATATTTATCAGCAAATACACAAACATGCATTAACATACATGTATAGTAATTTTTTTTTAAAAATTAAATTGGGACAGTAGAAGCACAGTTATTAAGCAATATGAAACATATTTTAAAATTACATGTAAACAGCACTGGTTGTACATGTAATACATTATATGTCTTATTACAATATACAGTAATCACAAATTTTACTGGGGTAAAATTTTCGTGGTTTGAGGAAATATGGGTTTGTGGGAATTGAACTTCATGGAAGGATTGTTGAGTAAGTTATACATGTACATGTAGGTATATGACATTTTACATTTCCATTGACGATTGTGGACATAAAGTTGTGGGTCTCTTCATACCTCGAAAACAACGAAAAAACTCTCACGAACATTAGCAATTTCACAATATACAAAGAGTATTTTTATCATATTATTATAATAATCATAATTTCAAAACCTTAATTAAATATAGTGTATATTAAGCATAATAGCATATACATGTATACTGCAAGCAATATGGTATAAATCTTAACCTTTTTCATAAAATTTTAATTTTTGTTCATTGGATCTTATAAATGTGTGTGTGCCACTGGGAAAATTAATACTTAACAAATATTATACTAAGAAATAGGTATGGTTTCCATACAAATTTTTCCCTGTGATTTTCCCAAAAAATGAAACTGGTGTAAAAGTTGAAAACTCATGCTTTTTAAATAATTGAAATTCAATGCAGAATAATCATACATATAATTTTTATCACGTGTTTTTAAATGCTTATTATGACGTCATAAACATGTGCATTTTCCCGTATTTTCTTAAAAAGTTGCAGAAGACACCAATTTTCAATGGAATTTCCTTTCAGATAACATTGTCCACAGGCATCGCCCACAAAGATCTTGAGATATGTGATTTGTTATTGAATTTTGCACAAAATATCAAAAAATTAATGTGGGCGACGGCTGTGGACACTGTTTTCTAAAGGAAAATCACCCTTGAAATAAGCCATTTCGAGGCTTTTTCTGTTGAAAATAGAGAAATGCTTCACATTAATAACGTCATATTTGCAGAATGGTAAACCTTCATGCCATATTCTTTCCTGATTTATCACAGTCATATATATAATAACTAATATTTAAGCCAGTTTCAATACTTTTTAATATCATTACATTTTTAGGGCACAATAAAGCTAAAACCATACCTTCTTCTTTATCTTAACTCCATTTCAAACAACATACATGAACTAAAATTAACTTTAACTTATAAAACATTAACATTTACAATATTGTGCATGTGGAGTTTGCTATTTATGTTGTAAATTTTTCTCAACAACAATTATTTTGACATCATTGCAATGATGTAGGAGTATATCAATATTTATGAGTATTAAAACAAAAAAGGAAAACAATCAAAATCCTGTTAACCTTTGATTGATAAACATAAAATTTAGCTAGAACTCAGCATATACCTCACAAACGGGCTTTCCAAATTATACAAAAAATGTTAATTGGCACTTGAAGATTGTGCATGAAAACTATACATCATAGATGTATTATATCACAGTACTGTAATGCATCACCATTTGTACATGTTCAACCTTCTAAGGAATGTCATGAAATATATCCAGTAAAACACTCTTAAAGCAAACATGCTTTTTACGAATTGATGCTTAAAGCAAAGTGTTTTTCAATCCCTGTGACTTTAGAATGTAAAATTTAAGTAATGTAAACTTTACGGATATAACAAATTACATGTATAACGAAGCATAGTTGTTGGTTCCTGGCTCTACATTATAAGCGTGTTTCACTGTATTCAGTTGATATGACTCAATATATTAAAATACTCAAAGTATACAATAATGCTCGAATAACAAAATGTAGTAAAATGATATGTTTAAATATCCTGAGTATTAATTTGTGATATGCCACTGTGTAAAATTGTTATCTGTATGTAATGTCTTAAGGGGGTTCAACTCCTTTTTCAAATCTGAATGGCACCAGACGCTTAAACACAAAAGTGATCCAGCCCAAAGTTAGAATGATCATACCACATAAGGATAAAAATGTCACCCTTGGACCAAATGAATTATATATTAAGCTGACAAAAATTGGACCCACTGTTCTTGCAAGGCTTCCAGAGGCTGTGAGAAAACCCATCATTGTACCCTGGAAGTAAAAAAATTTTACACTGTATATCTATGTATAGATGTTTTGATTTTTCTTTTAATTTGTCTGTTAAAGAAAGATACAACATTTGACACAGGTAGAAGTATAGATTTAACACTCACCAAGTAAAACTACTCATTTTCATTTTAATGTTCCAGAAATAGATGTAAAATATTTTAAAATCAACAAATTGTTGGAATTCCAATGGGCACTAATTGAGCTTCTCTATTAGCTGACATATTTTTATATTCCTATGAAGCAAAATTTCAAAAACATACTAACATGAGAATATTGAGGAATTATCATTTTTCATGGGGGCCAATGATTGTGGATTTTGTGGGTCATCCATAAATTTACATCTACACAAACAATTACTTTGTATAAATTTTCATTAAATCATCTGAATAAACGAGTTACCTATGAAATAACATCCCCATGAACCAATAAAAATTTGCTTAACCAAGAACATTGACCCCCACAAATTAAAAAGATTCCACAGTAATCACAGCATAGGAATTTTACAGTTTATTTTGAGAATTACTACATTTCAAGTAACAATATAAGAAACTATGATGTTTTAACTATAAACTTTTAAAATAAAACAAAAAGAAGACACACAAACCTGAGGCTTTGGTCCTAGTATTTTGGAATACAAAGTATAAGACATGACATTTCCTACGGGATACCCTATGCAAATGAGAGCAGTTCCACAAAGAAATTGGGCCAATGTTACAATGGGAGTGTAGGCGCACCACTGGTAGGCATCAGGACACCCAGTGGCTTCAGGATTCTCCCCAGAGCTGTTACTGACCATGGCTTGCGTATTGAGAGACAGGTTCTGGTGTGGGGCCATAGTAAACCATGACTGGTTTATTGCTGGTGTGCTGTTTGGATAAATTGCTGCAATGACAGTGGATGTCAAGTTATATCCAAATCAGTATCAACCAAATAATGCTAACTGTTTCTGTAATGGAAGAAAGTATCAAAAAGAATAAAAGTTTGAACATGAACTTACTGGCCATTTGGGAGGGAGGGTAATGGTCTCCCCATGGAAGATACACCACAAAGCCCAAAAGACAACAAACAAATCCTCCAATCAACAAAAATCGCTCGTTAATTCTAAAAAAAAATTTCAATGTCATATTAGTTTAACAATTACTACACAAATAATCATTTTTTGTGGGTTTTTTTTATGCTCAATAAAAGGTTCAACATCATACATTCAAAGGCTATAGGAACCCACTTTGGAAATCTATAGTTGCTGTATTTTTATGCAACTTTAATAAGTGATCTGCCCTTAGTTATAAATCAAAAAGAATTGAAATCTACTTTGTATTAATACGGGCATTCTAAACATCTTATCTGACCTACAAATAGAAAAGTTTGTTTTGCATATAATTAAATTTTACATGTACATGTACCTATATCCATGTAAGAAAGGTAAAAAAAATATAAAAATTCCTTAATTTCTTAAAAAAAAAAAAAAAGATTTAGTAAAATTACTCAAACAGCTGATTTCAAGTTTACATTAATGTGAAAAGTTATTTTCTTACTTTTTAGAAAGAATTTTGATGACAATGAACACTAAAATAGCTACCACTCCCCCCACTGCTAGTATTATTCCATTGTACAGTGTGGCATGGGCTCGAGTCCAAGCATACATATTCATGGTCAATGGTGTTCCTATTCTGGAAACATTAAAATTATAATTATCATAATGATTACATGTATAATTATTTATATCAATGAAATTAGAATACATACAATGATGTACATATGTCATTTAAAATTTTTGATCTCTGAATGTAAATGTGAAATGAAATATTACACATATGTAACCTTTCTGCTGAAATATATAAATAAATAGGAAAACTATAATTGTTAAGAATCTGTATAAATCTGTTCTAATTTAATGGAATGCAAATTGGATTGCTAAATATAATTCAGAAAATCAATCTTCGTACCGAATGAATTTTTGAAATAAAAAAAATTCTTACGTCTCAAAGACAGCAAAGATGAACAGAGCCACAAAAAAGATGACATTAGATGCAACAACAGCAAAGATATCTGGAGTATAGTCAGGAACTTCTTTGCTGCCTACAACAAAGAATGATTGTCTATATGAGTCTGGACTGTACAAAAGGCCCAAGAGCCTAGAATCACTCTTCGGAAAAATTGTTTAACCCACTTTTCTCATCGTTGCAAACCATAAAATATAGCCATGAAATTCCACAGTGACCTAGTTTTTGGTTGACACTGCCTAGTATCTAAACTAGTAAAGTTTAAAGCTTCTAGGCTTCTCAGCATCCTAAAATATTGACAGAGATTTGCTGAGTGTGTCACTATGACTTTTTCAGTAAACACAATTCACTGAACAAAGGTGTACCTACCAAATAAAAATGGCTAATCTTTTGATTTTTATAAATAGTGTAATATTTCAAAAGTAAGTCACTTAAACTTATGTTTTGGGTGACATATTCCAAAGGCTCAAGATAAATTCATTGACAAGAGTTTAAGATTCTAAGCAACTTAGTATCTGAAATATCTAAATAAAGCCATAAAATTCCAAAAGTAAGTCACTGTGTCCTACTTTGTGTTTGATATTTTCAAGGGCCCTAGAATGCATCAACCTTTGATGATCTGATCATTCCAGGCTTAACAACATCCAGAATTTAAAAATGTATCATTCACTTAAGGAATGACTTTAACAGCTACTCATTTTATATGGTATAAACTGGGTTTGGGCAGTTTAAGCTTTATAAACCGCAAAGCAGTTTATAATTGATATAAAAAAGCATAAACTCTTCCAACCCAGTAAAGCGTAAAGCGACACTCATCACTGCGAGCTCTTAAAGCAACGCCTGTATGAAGAGAAAATTCGGACTACTGCACACATTCATTCGATAGAATTTTTTGATGCAGTAATTTGGACCCACAATGCATCACTTGTTAAAGCTACGTTCTCTCGAGAATAGCAGCAAAAGTTCAACTAAAAGTAAACATGCCCTGATTTAATGGATAAATATTGAAGAAAAATAGTAAACGAAACGTTCTTCATTTACTTTCAGCACTCTTCAGGCTTCTTTTTAGAAATGTAACTTAGTACATACGACGTCATGTGACGTCAGAGTCTGGACGCACCAAATGTCACGTGCAGTCTGATGATCCCAATCTATATTATAATAAAATAAATATCTGCGCTCGCCATAACGGTCGCACCGTCAACATATTATAGTTTATACCGAGAAGCAATTTTGATAAGGACATGCAGGTGTAACTTATATGTATTCAACAAACCTGTATCTTGAATGCTGAAGTTATATTCTTCATCTATGACTCTGTGTTCTCTGAATACCACAAACAATAGGATGAGATTGAGGAGGCCCACGAGGGCACTGAGGAATGCTGGAGCTGTGTACAGATTTAGGTGGAGCCCTGTTGTATGGACTGGTCCGGGGTACCCAATAGGGACCATAGCTGTCTGGATTGCTGCAAAAAAAAATTATAGATGAAAAACATTGCTACGGTTTATAGCCTTCGATCACTATCAAAATTTGTATTTCTTTTAGGATATTGTCTTACAAGAGGCCTATGGGTCACATAGCTCACCTGACCACATTGGCTGGGTTAAAGCACTTATTACTTCAGTATTAAAAAGTTTATGTGGGGAAGGGGGGCAGCAAACTTGAATTTAACACTACCTAAGGATGCAGAAGTTTGCAGAATGGATTGATTGATAGGCAGATGTACTACAGAAAACAAAGGTAATCAGAGATTACAGAGCTCACCTCAACGAATGTTGTCTTTAAGTAAGGCAAAGTCACACAATTCACCAAAAAAAAGTGTACATCCGAAAATGAAAATATTTATGCAATTTTGATCTGATACTTTGGAATAGAGCTTTATAAAAACTTCAAACTAGTTCTTTTTCATGAAAATGTAATTAAAATCCAGCATCTGAAGCAAATTTGAGAGTTTTCATCCCTTGATGCATCATTTGAGCAAGTTTGGTTTATAGAATGTTATATAAGCCTTATAGTTTTTTGGTAATAGACCTGCACCCATAACTTTTACCTGGTCCATTATCTGAAAAATGTATGTCTAATTCAGCATCTGAAGCAAGTCCATTAGTGTGCATCCTAAGATGTATGGTCCATGCAAGTTTGCTCATTATAGGGCTCATAGTTACTTGGAAATGAAACCTGCACCATAAACTTTAACCTGTTCACTCAACCGGAAAATGTAGGTCAGCTTCAGCATCCGAAGTAAGTCTGGTAGTATGCATCTTTAGATGTACCATCTATACAAGTTTGGTCATAATAGGGCTGAAAGTATCTTAGAAATGAAAACTGTACCTAAAACTTTAACCTGTTCACTCAACCGGAAAATGTAGGTCAGATCCAGCATCCCAAGTAAGTCTGGTAGTATGCATCCTTAAATGTACCATCCATGCAAGTTTGGTCATAATGGGGCTCAAAGTATCTTGAAAATGAAAACTGCACCTAAAACTTAAACCTGTTCACTCAACTGGAAAATGTAGGTCAGATTCAGCATTCGAAGCAAGTCCATTTAGATGTATCAAACCTGCAAGTTTGGTCATAATAGTGCTCATAGTATCTTGGAAATGAGACCTGCACCAAAAACTTTAACCTGTTCACTCAACCGGAAAATGTAGGTCAGATTCAGCATCCGAAGCAAGCCTGGTAGTGTGCATCCTTAGATGTATAATCCATGCAAGTTTGGTCAACATAGGACTTATTGTTACTTGTAAATGAGACCTGCACCAAAATCATTCACCTGTTCACTCAACCGTAAAATGTAGGTCAGATTCAGCATCCGAATCAAACCCGGTAGTATACATCCTTAGATGTATCATCCATGCAAGTTTGGTCAACATAGGACTTATTGTTACTTGTAAATGAGACCTGCACCAAAATCATTCACCTGTTCACTCAACCGTAAAATGTAGGTCAGATTCAGCATCCGAATCAAACCCGGTAGTATACATCCTTAGATGTATCATCCATGCAAGTTTGGTCAACATAGGGCTTATGTTCCTTGGAAATGACACCAACACCAAAAACTACACCAAAAATGTTAACCTGCTCCAAAAACCTTAACCTGGTCATTCCTTTGCTGAAATTGCAGCATCTGAAACTTTGACTGGTATAATGAAACACACTAGAAGCATCTTCCATGCATGTCTAATCAATATAGGACATAGAAGTACTTTAAAAGAAAACTGCTCAAAAAAACTTAACCTGGGACGCCGACACCGACGCCGACGCCGACGGGGACGCCGAGGGTATTACATAAGCTCCCCCAACTTCGTTGAGGTGAGCTAAAAATGTGATCAGAAAAGCTAACTTGAGGTTTCAGTGCAGGAGAGCTAAACAGTTTAAACAATCTCTTGTTGAACAAGGGTGCAGAACTTCCCTTCGCAATTGAGCACATTGATCCTGATATAAATTATCAAAAGCTTAACTTCTATTGTGCACATACTCTCTCTCACATACACACACACAATCATGTTATAAATATATGCCCTCCACTTCTCCAACTTCCTTGCAAGGGGATAACAAGCCTTGCTCTATATGACTGTAGCCTTGAATGAATTTAAATTTCTGCACTATTTTGCTGCATTGTAATACATTTTTATTGGATTTTGCTGAAAGATAAAAGGCACAATCCGTGCATACAACTGTATATACTTCCCGATAGGACTTCTGTCATGTTATTATGTAAAAAGATAGATAATTTCTCCTTTTATACATGTACCTGGTCCTACAATGAAGCCGATTGCTTGGAAAGCACTGAGATTCGCCATGGCTCCTGTTCTCTCTTTGATTGTGGTGGCACCTGAGAGATAAGACCGGACCACTGCCACATTTCCTATACAACACAAAAAGCAACAAAGTCAAAATTACAACCGTCTTACTTATAGCTTTCATTATGTGCAGTTGTGTCATATGGCCGTTTTTTTAATACCCTAGTTTGCAATCACTTCGTTAAATCATATCTAATTGAACAAATTAGCAGGCTATAACATAATGTACATAGAATGTATTTCTTTTTAAGGGGGGACCTATGTCGTTCTACGTCAAAGCAGCGTTATGTGACGTCACAATAGCGACGTTTGTTTTTACCTGTTGACTTTTGCAACTGTGATATAGGAATAGCATTGTTAATAATCAATAACGTACACAATTTACAAAAAGAAAATTTATTCATCATCAATAACAATTTTATTTGATTTATGGAGTTTATTAATATTAGAATTCTCTTCCTTTGGTTGATAATCCAAAGCAATTTCAGTTATGAAGAAATACCTCTATGATATGCTGATATATATGTGCAAAAAGATCAGATAAAATTCAGCAAAGAAAGCGGCTTAAGTCATGGAAATATGTTTAATTTTATGTTTACCATTAATTGTATTTTCTGGATAAAACTAAGAAAAAAAATTAAGAAATGTACTTGTACCTTTATTTGCTTATTGATTTATAGTACATGTAGATTTTATCGTATAAATTCATTCCTAGGTTCCAATAGGTGTTGGTTGTTGACGAGGAAATGGGGGGGGGGGGGGGGGGGGGCAGAACGATTGGAGTGAATAAGAAAAGAATTAAGCTGTTTGAATTATTTCTAATCAAAACAAAATACTTGTTTTTTGCAAAATAGTTTAATATTCAGATGTTTGTCAATGCTTACTTAACCTTTTTAGTGCAGAAAGGTCAATATTTATGACACAAGAGTAGGAAAATGAAAGAAAACATCATATTTCTCGTTTATTTTATCATAGAGGTATACCTTTTTCTTTGTTAAAATAAAGGGATTAATCATTTCTTTCAAAAAATATGAATTACAACATTTTCACACAAAGACTTTTTAAGATATTACCTGTTATGCATGTCGAAATTGGAAAAAATACGACAAGAAAAATGTGGTTATACTTACATTGTGCTCCAATATAATTTTTCATGCGAGATGAATTATAAAGAGTTTGCCTTCATTTTAAAAACACAAGACATGTAAATGAAATACCTGTTGATTTTGAATGTTATTTGACATTTTTGTTTCTTTTTAGCGCATATTTGGGATAGAACAATAATGTCTGAAAGTAGTCTATTTTTAGCATTTCACACTGTTTTTGCACGTGCTCCTGTGTAAAAATAAGAGTATAAAGCTATTGTTTTTAATACCTAAAAAATAAGAGCATGTGGCCAGGAAAGAAATGTCAAAGTTTTGAAAATTTCACACAAAGACTTTTCGGACATAGGTCCCTCCTTAAGTTCATTACATGGTAGCTAAGATTATTATTTTTAAAAAGTGTCTTGTTTGTTTATCTTATCAAGTACTGACAGGGAATATAAATATATCATACAGGTAAAAAGTTTAAAGTTTAAAACAAATTCTTAATCTGTTGATAAACATATAATGTGCACTAAATCAACCTTTCTTATACAAATATTTGTACATGCAACTACGCACTCCATTTCATGCAAATACGTACAATGGTCAAGAGGTTTATAAGATTGAATTAATTAATGCATTCAAATATTTCAAAATTTAAAAGAATTAATATGAAAATTTAAAAAACCTGCACCAAATCCAATCATTGCTCTGGCAGCAATCAGAGCAACTAGTCTGTGTTCCTTAATATCTTCCAGATAGGCATATAGGATGTTAGCGAGAATGTTAATGATGAGGGATACAGCCAGGGGTTCCCTACTTCTACCCAGACAGTTAGACATCTTCCCAAAGAAAGGCGAGGCGATGAGCTGACCAATGCTGTAGGAGGCCACCACCCAGCCCAGCAGATCTGTTGTGGCATCTGTGTCCAGCTAAAATTATACAGGTTATCTTATACAGACAAAGAAGAGAAAAACAAGGTTAATTAAGCAAGCTTAAAATCTTGAATTGAGGTCTTCGTGAGCTACATGTAACAATGTACATTTCTGTTGCAATATACTTTGATCCTTTCAAAGATCAATATGCAGTGCCTTCAGAACTTGCCAAGATTTATGACTGTGTTAAGTCTTAAAGTGTGCTAGATTAATATGGTAAAAAGTATATATTATCAGATTTTGAATTTGAACTGGTATGAAAAATAATTAAAACTTAACTTTAAAATCAGTAACTTCAAGTAAAAGTGAACATACTATATCTTTTCAAGTGATGAATATTATAAACATGCAGGTGTAAGCATAAGTTCATATTTGCCAAGTGATAACATGCCATACACAGAGATAAAGTAAACAATTAATTGATCATGCATCCTTTATGAACAGCGCGTACAATATATAGCCATTTGACCAGTGACTATTCATTGCTTGCTTATAGATTATTTAGTTCTTGTGCAGACTTGTATAACAAGATCCTTAAACACGCATCTCTACACAGGCCTGTCCCTTAAAGACCCAGGGGCTGTTGATTTTCCCAAACTAATTATAGATGTAATCCATGTATATCCTTGTATTTCCCTGCAACTCTCTGAGGAGGAACCCCCAGAACCCCTTCTTCTTTAAATCTTAAAGATCCCTTTAAGATTTAAAAACTCTTAAACTCTTCTGAAGGATATATACATGTATATCTCTTCCTTCAAATCTTGAAGATCCCTTCAATGTCTCTATTCATAATCATTGTGTTTAGTCAAATAGTTCCTTACCAGTTTCAGAAATGGCCATATTGAGGACATACAGATGGAGAAGGACACACTACTGAGGAACATGGTGAGGTACATGACACGGATGGACCGCCATCGACTCCGACGGACTCGGGGGTTCTCAACAAAGGTACTGCTCGGTAAGCCATTGGATGTGCTAAAAAGAAAGTCAAAGTCACTTGAGTGAAGTAGAATAATTTCAATATAAAAGTTTGCAAATTTGAAACAGCATCTTAATACAAAGCATACAAATAGATAATGACAAACAAGGAATGTTACATGTACTATGAATCTTAATAAATTTGTAAAATGTTAATTTTACTACTGACAGAGGACAAAAATCTCATTTTACTGCAAAAACAATAAAATGAAATTTAATCTATAAGATCTCTCTTTTAGTTTTTCATAGATTTCCCTGATTTTGCGATGCTTCTGATTGATTTAAAAACATATATTAAAGAAAGAGGTGGAATAAGTGGACTTCTCCGTCTACCTCCTATGAAATTTTCTTTTTCTTTGTAGATGGTTTTTCTCTGTTACACATTCTCAGAACTTAGTACCTACCCATTATATTTCCACATTTCAATCTCAGCCTCCACCCCTTCATTCTGAGTGAAATACTTAACAGACACAATAGAAATGTTTTTGTCCATGGTATAGTAATAGATGCTTGTAATTTGAGTTAAATTTTAGTTTTAAACTATTAGTTATGATAAAGACCTATTCCCTGTACTTTTTCCAGTCTTCTGGCACAAATAGAGAGGAAGGAATGCTGGCAGGAAATACTGTAGTGGCAGTGTGGGGCCATAAGGAGTTGTCTAAAACAAAAGGCGCCATATTCCTTATGGATCTTCAATAATACAATCCAAAAACTGGAAAAAATCAGCTGTCCAAAGTTATTGTAGAGAGAGATTGTGGTTAGAAATCACGAACATGAAATTCAACATGTCAATAGTTTAGCACTTCAAAGCGAGTCTAAACAGATTGGAATAAATGTGGCCTGCATGCAGTAGATCATGATCGAAGCCTCCCAACAGAAGAATTTAGTTCATTTAATAGAATATCAGTGATTGAAGTGTAACACTATAACAGTAACTGTGTTTATATATTGATAAATATTTCCTTCCTCTGAATATTATCTCCTTATTTCTTTTACAACAATGCACCCTTAGAAAGATCTCCTCTGTTAACAACACTGTATAATGTTTCCAAAAATTATTTTCACATCCAATGAAAAATTTTCAGATTCAAATCCTCCTGTCAACCACAGTTTTAATCTGTGTACCTGAATTACCCAGTATGCACTAAAAATACTGTATGCTGAAGTCCATTATCATTCCCTGCACCATTTGTTGATAAACTGAATTAAATACGCAGGACGTACATACCATTACATAACGTACGTAGATAGATAAGACTTATCAGCTGACTTGGTTTAACTGGCACATTTCGGGACAAATAAAGAATCAAAATATTGCTGGTGTTATCACTTTCTTTATCACGTAGCATTTGAAAGTAAATGATTTGCCTGATATTGATGATTCATACTATCTCTTGTGATCTGGCTATAACTCATAATGACATCAAAATTTATCCATTTAAATTTTCCAAAAAGAATTACCATGATCAAGATTTCGGGATTAAGAGTGAAAGCATAAAATGCATGTCCAAAGATTAAATTAAATTTCTAAAAGCTGGCCATGGCAGGAAAAGGGACAAATGCAGGTTGTGGCCAAATAAATAATTTTTTAAGTCCCTGTTATTGAAGATTTGGCCCCAGGGGCATGTAGTTTTTGCCCTTTCCTCTGTGTGCTGGCTGTTAGTTTAATGTCCTGATCCACAAAAAAGATTATTTAAGTTTGCTGACACTACCTTTGATTGCTTGCAGTTATGGACTTCATTTTTCAGAAGTGTATCCAATGTGAGACCTTTTATTTTGCAAATTGGCTCCAACATACTTGAACTTGTAGTTTCATCAGCTTTTTCAAAATTCTACCTGAATATCTTACCTTGGCTGAAACTTCTGAATGGTTGCATGGTGTCAGGAATTTCCTATTTCACATGTGCATGTATTCCTCAAGTAAGAACTTTCCCTGGGTACAAATATTTTTGACCTTGGAATTTGGCCTACTTTTCAAAAACATTAACCTACGTCATCATGGTCATAACTTTTGAATGGTTATCATGGTTGGACTGCAAAGGCCTTTATATTTTAAGAGCCCTGAAACCTTGCATTAACTCTGAGCCTGGTTTCACTTTGGAAGAGGAACCTTTGCTCATTATAATAACATTGCAATTAGTTTGTTTGCTTGATGCCAAGGAGCAGAGAGAAAAAATTTCAAAGGAATGATGCAATTTTAATTCTAATTAATCTAATAAATCAAAAATGCCCTCAACCCTTACAACTCAGCTCCTTGACCCAAAGGCCATGAAATCCAAAACTTTATTAAATGAGGCACCCTTGCAGGGGGTCAGGGTTAAAATCCCAGTCTGGTTTCATTGTGTTTTCTTTTCTCCCTGTACAATTGAATTAATTTTGATTTTAAGATGGTGGCTATTTATAGCCACAGGCTAATTGCTGCCACTCTTGTTTGTTGCAGTCTAGTCAAATAAGGTAATGTAGCAGTGTATGAATAAAATTTGGTACTGCGAGAATTAAGTTAGATTAGAGCCCCCCTTTCTTGCTGGCCATCCCACTTTCAAAAAAATGCTTTACATGTTTTCTCCTAAGAACTTTTAAAATTACCTAAGGTAGCTTAAAACTGAGCTGAAGACAAAAAATATGTGTTTGTAAAATAAAACAAGATGTCATCTAAGATGTATCATGGATGCCCACAAGTGGCAGGGGTTATGGGAGGAGGATACTTTCATTCCTTCCCTTACCAAAATAAAAGCCTTCTGGCACATAGTTGCAGCAAGTTTACTGCAAAGTTGCCGCAACTTTGCGGCAAATATTTGCGGCAAACTTGCCGCAAATAGATTTTTCGTATGCAAATTTTTTTCTGGCACACAGTTTGCGGCATATTTGCGGCAAAGTTCTGGCACATTTGCGGCAAACATTTCAAATCCTTACATTGTGCACTTAGCTGCAAGTTTGTGGCACACACTTGCGGCACATTTCTGGCATATAGTTTACTGCAAGTTTGTGGCACACACTTGCGGCACATTTCTGGCATATAGTTGACTGCAAATTTGTGGCACACACTTGTGGAACATTTTTGCATATACAATTTCATAAGCTAATATACTTTACCTTAACAAATTAATTTTAAAAGAACGTGATTAAACATGACAGCAACATGTAATACATGTACATGTACTATAAAAAAAAAAGAACATTTAAGCCATTTTAAAAATTATTTATGAAAATTTCAAGGTGAAAAGGTACAAGTATATAAAACACTAACTATAATATTAATGTTTAAAAAAAAAAACTTGCACAGTACGGAACAAAATCTGTTGATTGAACAGTTACACTGTATACATCAGATAGAGAAAGAAACAGATTAAAAAAAATAAATTCACAACCTTTGAGTAATATAATGGCACAAATTTACATTGGTCATTATGCAAAATGAATAGAGGATTTGTAGTTAACAACAATTGCAAAACATTTTACATCAAAGAAAAGATTCACCTCTTACAATGAATTTCAACTGCACATATCAATTAAGTAATAGTGCTGCACGATATGAATAAAAACATATTAAGTATTTTGACAAATTAAATCTCACAATATTATTTACACAGTAAAGGCGACCAATTTGTTTAGTGTCTTGATTCTATCACTTTAAAAAAAACAACAACATAATCCCCTGGAAGAATCCATGTCATGTTGAAAGAGTGTCTTCATCTGTTGCATTTCCCATTAATTGATTGATTGTATATTGTTTAAAGTCCTTCATGAGAATTTTTCACTTATATGGAGATGCCAACATCTGCCGTGGGAGAGCTGCAAATTTTGTCCTATACTACATTAATTGGCACTCAGGGCCATTGAGCTGGGAGGATCTTTTTTGATCGTCACCTACTGCAACATGGGACCTCAGTTTAAACAGTCTCATCAGAAGGATCCACAGTGGAGTTCAACTCCTTACTTCGTGACTCAAGAGCAGACGCTCTAACCATGCGGGTGACACATTTGATAGGAATATCTATTAACTACTTTCTTGGCACAGTACTTCAAGTTCACTCTGACATTTCAAATAACTTTTCATGATTGGGGGTTGGGGGGGGGGGGGGGGGGGTGGGGGCTTCCTTTCCAACATTATGTAAGTATCTGTTAAAAAGAGAGAGAAATTACTCGCATTGCAGTCACTGAAACCAATAGTTATTTAAGCAATGAATTAAACCTAATTTTGACCTAGAGATCCCACATTTGTATCTTGTTCTGTATGCATTAAAATCATATTAAATGGCATTTCAGGATAGATTGACAAACAAGAATTCAATAACAACACTTTGTTAAATAAAACTACATGCTTCTTTGACAAATTATAGAATGTAAAGTGTATTTGATCATTTGTTTATATGACATAAACATTTGAATATGGACCTAATTCTTAATTGTGATTTAACTTACTTTTAGTCCATCTCTTAGTTAGTAGAATCCTTTCCTGCAGATAAATGCCCTCCTGATCTATTCTTTGTGGAGGGTTTACTAATTCCTCATCAGTCCATCTGGATAGAACAAAAAATAAAGACATATTCTATATCGACCCAGTTTGTTATGAACATGCAAGGACTGTAAAAATTCTGTAAAAATTCTAACTGGCTTAGCAAATATAGTAAAGTCTTATTTCTATGTTAAAAAGACATCAGTGTTATACATTTTTTTTTAAAATACTCACATTCTCTCTTTATCCACGGCCTGTGTTGCTGTTTTCTCCTTTCTCTTTGTTCTCGTCATGAGTCATGACCCAGGTGGTTTAAAATTGGCGCAAACTTCTAAACCGGATGTGAACTGATAAGCCGTTCTTAGATAGGTCTGTAACGCAACAGACAAGTCGTTCCTAAATCTTTATGGCACACTTTTGGCACACAGTGATTTTGATAGTTAAAAGAAACATTTCTGGTACACTTCTGGCACACTATATAAATAGAAGGCATCTAAGGGAAAATTGTGGCATACTTCTGGCACATATGTGCATCAGATCATTTAATGTGCCGCTAGAGGTACATATGTGCCCCTAGCAGCACACAATGAACCGCAAGTGGCATACTGTGTGCTGCTAGCTGCATTTACTGCACACTTCTGGCATACTGTTCTGGTACATAGATTTGTTTGCCGCAAACTTGCAGCAAACATTTCATTTTGGTAAGGGTTCCCATGAGTACTGAAAGTCCTGGTGGTGGTGGTGAGGAGGGGGGTGTTAAGAAGTAGATTTATATATATTCACAATTGCACCCTTGTCTTTAATATACAAAGAAATAAAGTTTTTTTTCTCTTTTAATGTGTAGAAGTTAGGGCTCAGTGAACCATGGATATTGGCCTGGGTATCTCACTTGGAGGTAGAACACCTGACTAGTAATACTTATAAGGAATCACTGTCTAGTTAGTGTAGTATGCCAGGGCATCAACGATAGTGGGAAACATGGGATAATTTGCATAACAGGCAAAGCCCGTTATGAATAAACTATCCCATGTTTCCCAGTATCGTTGATGTCCCTGGCATTTCCATTTCATTGTGAAATAAAATTGTAGATTTAGACTTTAAAAATGTAGACTAATCAATTTAAATTACACGAGGACTCCCATGCCAATTTCAATAGTCCTCGCCCATTGACGTCAAACACAAAGGCAGCCGCACGAGATTTACATGCATATTTGGCCTCCTTAGTTTCAGATACAGAGACTGTGATGCGAACAAGATCTGCATGCATATTAGGCCTCCTTAGCTCCTCACCCATCGACCTGCCTTATTTACATTCCTAACCTTTCAAACTTTCAAAGAGTTATCACAGAGAAAAAAAAATTGAAATGGAAATATATGATCAACACAGCTAGTGGTCCAGCTAGAGTAAAACACACTTCCATGTATAACGAAGCA